GGCAACAACGACCTGGGCGACCTGGGTGTGGTGATGCTCTGTGAGGTTCTGAAACAGCAGGGCTGCCTTCTGCAGAGCCTCCAGTGAGTGCAGAGCTTCACACGAGGGGGTCAGAGTGCTGAGGGGGAGGTGACCACTGGACCAAACTCAGAACTTCTCTTCATCAATTTGAATGTAGAGTTAGATGGATCAGGCCAGTTGTTGCAGATTTTTAAAAATATAGCAATATGGGAAAAATGATATTCAACAGCATCCAGATATTCAGACTAGTCAAGATTCAACTGGGTGTGAAAAGACTTTCCACCCTGGGGAAACACACACACACACACACACACACACACACACACACACACTCCCTTGCACATAACTACTTTCAGTGTGGCTGCTTTTCATTCAGACTTGTTCTTCTTTAAGGATGGGAAGTTTTTTTCACACTCAGTTGGATCTCGAGTGGTTTGAAATCTGGAGTGCCTAGGACAGAATGAATAAGAACCAAGGGAAGAGGTATTCATAGACAGCCAAGCCATTTGACAAGGGGTCCTAGCCACAGTGGGACCAGAAGCCACTGGGAAGAACAAAACTGGGGAAACTGAGCCAGTCCAGAGGGATTGTTATGACTGAACTCAGGCTCAAAATAGCCTAGGGAATTCTTGGATGTAACCATCTTATATTAGTTAGCTTAAACAAAACACTATTGGTTAGGTAACTTAAACAACGGGAGTTATTTAACCACAGCTCTAGAACCCAGGATGTCTAAAACGGGATTAGCTTATTTACTTGCTGGAAAAGGAGCCTTTTCACCTGCAGACAGCTGTTTAACCATGAGCTCACACTCAAGGTGAGACAGGGAGAGAGCATGTTCCATGGTGTAAAGGTTCTATTCCCTTCACAAGACTCTGCTCTTAGACTTTCACCCACTTCCAGTCACCACCTGAAGACCTTAGCACGTTTCAGGATAGGACTACAACACATTTTGAAGGTGTACACACATACAGTCCACAGTTCAACCAGACATTGCTGGAAAAGATGTAAGTCCAGTGGTTCATTTCCTCAGTTAACTTTCAAGGAAACTTTAATAACGAGGATGAATTTGGTGCTTGAGTTGGCTGTGGTGGCTCACACCAATAATCCTAGCACTCAGAAAGTGGAGGCAGGAGGATTTCTAATTTGAGAAATTAGAAATGCTGAATGAAAAATGTGCACACTATTTGAGAGACATACTAAGAAATTGCAATGTGTAGATTTGTAGAGCTTGATTGAATAAACATATTATAAAATATATCCAAGATAATTGAGGAAATTTAAACATACACTGGATACTAATAGTAAGGTGTGAGAGGACATTGCAGTTATCTTGTAAAAGGTATTGGTCATTAGATATTACACAGTGAAATAACTGTAACTACATGGAGTCAAGGCATCCATCCAAGTAGGGGTGGGAGGCCAACAGATGAAGCATGATCGGCCATGAGCTGCTTTAACGGTTGAACTTGGAAAAGGACTTATGGGGATTTACTGGACCAGGGATTTATACACCATCGTGTCTACTTAAAAATGAAGATGAAGGGCTGGAGAGATGACTCAGTTAAGAGCAACTGGCTGCTCTTCCAGAGGACCTGGGTTTAATTCCCAGCATCCACATGGCAGCTTATAACTGTCTGTAACTCCAGTTCCAGGGGATCCGACACACTCACACAGATAAATGTGCACATAAAGTAAAAATAAATATGGGCTGGAGAGATGGCTTAGCGGTTAAGAGCACTGACTGCTCTTTCAGAGGTCCTGAGTTCAATTCCCAGCAACCACATGGTGGCTCACAACCACCTTGAATGAGATCGGGTGCCCTCTGCTGGCATGCAGTCAGAAGACTGGATACATAATAAATAAATAAATCTTTGTAAAAATAAACAAAATATATTAAAAAACGAAGATCAAAATATAACAAACAGTGTACAAAACTCTGTAGCTCCAATTTGTCAGAGGGCCTGAGAAGGAGGACTGCTTGAGTCTAGAAGTTTGAGGGCAGTTTGAACAACATGGTGTGATTTTCTTTAAAAAGCACAGAAACTACATTGCTTAGGGACACTCAGTATCTCAGAGCATGGAGATGAGATTAAAGGAAATGAGATGAGATTATATGGATATGTGCATACATACACACACACACACACACACACACACACACACACCCACACACTGGGTACTTAAGTACCCAGGTTGACCTGGCCTCAAATTCACTAAGTACCCCAGGCTACCCTTGAACTGTGGTACTCCTGCTTTAGCATCCCAAGTTCTCACATTATAGGTCTACACCACCACACCAGATGAGCTAACACTTTAAAGGCCTAATTCTCAGTTTTCTGAAGAGTCTAACCCAAAGCTTTCTTTCTGTTTTTACAGGTTGGGTGAAATGTATTTTAATTATGAAACAAAACAAGCCTTAGAAGCGCTTCAGGAAGAAAAGCCTGAGTTGACAGTTGTCTTTGAGCCTTCTTGGTAGGTGTGGAAACAGGACTGCCAGGTGCCACAGTCCTGCTCTGTGCCCCAGTGCATACCATTCTTCATGGTTTTTAAATTCTCCTCCACCATCAGGACCACAGCAAGACTTCTAGTTTAGGGTCTGGAGCGAAGGCTCATGTGGGGAGCCAAGCATGTTTCCCGCGTGAAGACAGTGATAACATGGACCTGCCAGAGGATGTGGTTCCCATCATGTCCTCAGTTGCCAAGATGTTCCCTCTTGGTGACCTCATGGAACCAACTTACAGAAAGTTTTTTGTTCTTTTCTTCTCCTGTGCTGCTCTTTTAATCTCTCCCCTTCTCATTTTCTTTACATTTGCTCATATCATTGCTTTTGTCTTTCTGTTAACTGACTTCTGTATAGGTAGCTGGCTCTGTGCTAGATGGCAAGTCTTTGGCAGCTACTTGTTTTCATTTTTAGAGTTATGTTTTCTGTTTAGCTACCTGAAAACCTAGAGATTTATAAAATCCATTTTTGTATTTATTGTATTATGTACTGCTTTCTTAATTTAAAAATGTATCTAAAATTCTTTTAAGTTATTTATAACTTAATAAACTACAAAAATAAATGCTTTGCATATTTAAAATACCCTTTTTCCCCCAAAATGACTCAACTTTGACTAATGAGAAAAAAAATCCCATTACTTGGGTTTTGGAGGAAGGATTTTAGGTCTACTAGCAGAGGTTAGCATCACACAGGGGAGGGTTA